TTCGTCATCAAGTTCGTCAGCACTGCCTTCATCAACATCATCAATATCCATCATTTGGTCGTCTTCATTATCTTTTTTTTTGTTCAACAGCTGGAATAACAAAAAAGAAAGCCACAGTTATTAAATATTTTATTATTAATCATTCTCGCAAACAGGTAACAAGAGCACATACTTCAATCATTACATCCAATGACGATTTTGTGATATCACCACAAAAAATCTTAAATATTTGTTCCGACATCTTGTGTAAAAATGAAGATGGTTTTGCAAGAAATCCAAGTAGAATATCTACAATAACATCAACAGGGTTATGCATATCTTGATTATTTTCATTTGTGTTTTTCAATTTTTTTGAAGACTTTCTTTTTTTATCAAACATTTTATCATAGCAAATCCGTAAATCCTATAAATTGATTAATTTAATATCCCATATTAAATATTTTATATTTAAAAAGAAATTTCTTTACCTTTAAGGCGCTCATGGAATCGTCTGGCTCAATGTACAACGCAAGAATTGAGAAAGAGAACAGTAATATAAAACCCTTATATTGTAAAGTGTTTGTAGAATCATTTGTTGATGGTTCACTCTGTACCTTTTGCCAATTAGCAAATATCAAACCGTATTTTACTATTTTATAAAATAGTTACCATTATAAACACAACAATGTTCATACCTTATCATTGATTTGTTGCAAAAGTATAATGACTTCATCTTTCATTTTTTGAGCTTCATTACTTAAAATTATCAATGGCTCTATTCGAGAATCGTCATCATACTTTTTCATTAAATTTACAGCATAATAAGCCCATGCACAACCATCACTCATGGTACCGTTTAATTTATGGCTAGACGTTTCTGAGAAAATGCAAGAGAACATTGGATTCAATATAATACACAAAAAAACCTTAGTGATAAACCATTTATAGACCATAATACTATACCATGGTCTAAAGAACGAATAGAACACAATTCGCCAAGTGCATGAAAAAAACGTGTCCGACAACACTTTTGAGTTTTCTCTGAGAGCTTTGGTATTGGTAATTCAAATAAGACATGAGTTTTTTCTGAATTATCAGAAATTCCCGTGTCAAGCTTCATTCTTTTTGAAGAACGTGTATTGTAGGATTTGGTATGTGATTCAACCTATATAGTCAAATATTAATGATATAAAAGAATATTCAACTGAATAAAAAAAAAAAAAAAGGATTTCTACCTCAGAGGTTTTCTTCTTATCCTTTGTGGTATCCAAATCTTTTGAAACGAAAAATCCATGAATAGTAAAAAAGTCCAAAATAGATTTCGAAAATCCTTCGTGACATTTTACATGAGAATCCTTTAAAAAAGTGTATAGATGGTTCACAATCCATTGACGGTGCTGCTCGATTGATCTATTTTCACTGTAAATGAAGCGTTTTGCAAACATTAATAAGTCAAAAATAAAGGCATTTTTAAAAATCACAAGCTTTTACCTCAATTGAATTTCATTCGGATATAAAAAATTTTTTTTAAGATGTGATAAATATTGTTCAAGTGCTTCGCTATCCAATGTGCCAAAAACTTTCTTAATAGCTTTAGTATTAAAGAATCTATCGAAATTTTTGTTACAATTATGACCTAAAAGTTGCATTACTATGATTACAGCTTTGTCTTTATCGACTTGTTCAAAGACAGACAACTGTTTAATTACATGTAAAAATGTCAAGTATGGGAATACAGCAAGGCTTTTAATATTTATATATTAACTCATTAATAATCTTACGATATGCATAACGGCCTCGTGCAAGTATCGTGATTTGTCGACAAAATTGTTCATTAATGTTCGTAAAAGATTTGGAGTAAATATTGAAGGCGTTTTTTCCAGTGGTAATGATGTTAGAGCTTTTTCGAACAATTGAAATCCCCAAAATTTCCTGTGATGTGTAGTATCCTCATGAAAAAGACATTCTGCAAGATCAAAATAGATCATTAATAATATGAAACATAGGTAATTATTTTAATTGAGAAATAAATAACATGTAATTACCATCTACTACCACTTTCCAAAATGTCTCAAATGTGACCATATTCTTCTTGTGACTCTCTCCAGGAGGAGAGATAAACCATTGAATTATTGTGTTCCAAACAGAATGCATTCTATTTTCATAATTCGGTTGAGTCTCAGTGGCGAACTTGCTTGTTTTTGCCTAATAATTAAAATTGTGGAAGGTAACTATAAAATAAAAAATAAAGTGGATAGAATAGAAATACGTTGCATACATGAATGGCTTCAGACAACTTTGTTAAATTATCGTGATGAAGAATGTGTGGATTGAGCCATTTAGATTCACAAGTCTCACAGCTGTGCAATATAGCTTTCTTCCATTGAGAATTATTCACGATTTTCTAAGATTAAAGGATCAAGCAAAACAAACAATTGATCAAATATAGTATACGCGTACCAACACCTTGGTGGATAAAAGCGAAATTATCTAAACTTTATAATAATAAAATATCTCATACCGGATATTGTTCATTGATAGCAAGAGCTAAACTAACATCATCAGGATTGCTAATTCCATGTGTACTATGATCCTGCAAAACTTCTATTAAATAAGATATTGCTTTTTCTTCGAAAGGTACTGTCTTCAACTAAGTAATGTAAGATTTTTAAGTTTCATTCAACAAACCATTTTTTTTAAAAAAAGATCGTAAACTTA